ACTTGTCTTTTGTTGATTACATAAAAGCATTCAACTGGGTGGATCATAACACTCTCTGGATACCCTTGGGAAAATGGTAATTATAGCAAATTTCATTGTGATCTTGTGGACCCTATATGGATCAAGAGACAACAGTTAAAAGAGAACAAGGGAATATTTCATGCATTTAAATCATGAAACATGTGTGTCAAGGTTGTACCCTCTTAACATACTTATACAACCTGTATGCTAAGCAAATCCTTAGGGAACCAGGATGATATGAAAAACAGTAACTCAGAATAATGAGGGCAATGAATGTACAAATGCGGTTTACACAATTGATGTGTGTATGGATTGTAATAAGAGTTGTATGAGCCCCTAATAAAATGATTTTAAAAAAAAATAAAAAAAAAAATAAGCTGGAGCAACCATAAAAAAAAAAAAAAAGAAAAACAGTAACTCAACAGAATTGGGTCAGACTTGTTAAAATCCTGTGATATGACACAACTTTGGTGGTTGAAAGTAAGGCCCTGAAGCACTTGCTGATAAAGATCAAGTACCATAGCCTTCAGTATGGATGTACTCGATGTGAAGAAGACCCAAATCTTCACAAGTGTAACAACTGGTAACACCATGATAAATGGAGAAAAGGTTGATGCTGTCAAGATTTTTGTCTTGCTTGGAACTACAATCAATGTTCATGGAAGCAGCAGTGAAGAGACCAAATGACACATTGCATTGGGTAAATCTGCTGCCTAAGACTTCTTGAAGGTATTTTAAAAGTAAGGATGATACTTGAGGGCAAAGGTACTCCAGCCCCAATGCTTGGAACTTTTAAAGGCATCATACGCATGTGAAAGTTTAATATCCAACAAAGACATGGAAGAAGAACGAGGAGCATCCTTGCTCCCTGGAGGCAAGGATGGGGAGACTTTATCTTACATAATTTGGACATGTTGTCCTGGGAGACAAGTCCCTGAAGAAGGACATCATTCTTTGGAAAGCAGAGTGGCAGTGAAGGAGGGCAAAGGCTACGGAGATGAACTGACATAGTGGTTGCAAAAATGAGCTCAAGCACAGGGACAATTGTGATGGTGACACAGGACCAGACATTGTACAATTCTATTGTGCATAGCGTCAGTATGGGTCAGAACTCACTCCATGGCACTGAACCACAAAAACATGGCAAGATGCAGTCTCAAGACCTTCAGGTCAGGGAAGTGCCCAGATCTAGCAAACAGCTAGATTGTTTCCAGAAAAAAATCCGTTTATATGGAGAGACCACACACACCAGTAAAGAAACCTCAAAATCATCGGCTGCCTACAGCATATCTCATCATGGAAATGATTACATTGTAAGGCTGTAAAAAGGGTCTTTGGGTTTAGAGAGCTGTGAGTTTTTAGGGAATTTATTTGGAGCTGGTGTGGTGGACGATGGCCGTGGTGCCCTTGGCCATGGAGTGTTAGGCCAGCTCTCCAGGCACAGCAGGCACATGGCAGTATGGATGTCCGTGGCTGTGATGGTGGAGCGTTTTGTTGGAATGCATCAGATGAGAAGCCTGGTAGGTGATGCAATCAAACATATGGTAGACCAGGAGTCCGGGTGAACCTGCTTGACCACCTTGTGCTCATAAGCAGAGTAGGTCTCCTTGTGGTTCTGCTGGACTTTCATGTGGTCCTTTCTCTGAGCCTTAGGCACCACCTCCTTGGGCTCTTCTCCAGGGAAGGCTCTGACTGAGCCGGGTCCAGCATGCTGAGGGTAAGGATTTGAGAAAGAATCATGCAGTCACAGCAGCGAATAGTGCCAGAGGATTTGTGAGCAACTTGCTGAGAGGTTGGCCTTTAGATCTCCCATCTGCAGACTGAATTGAGAACCTCTTGGGGCAGGAATGGGCCCCCAGATGCACTGGAGGCTGAAGACAGAAATTGTCCTGGGCAGGGAACCTGCAGGTTGTGCTCTGGTATTGTTTTATACTATGGTAACTATTTGGCTTTTGTGATTTTCTATTAATGTCTTTTTTTTTTGTTTTTAATGGTGTGGAATGTAAAATTAAAATCTTGGGGAAAATCCAAAACAGTACACACAAGGAAATCATTTATTCTCACAAACACATACTTCAACGCTGCCTCCAAAGTGAGGCTGGCAAGACATCCCCTGACATTATGTGAGCAAGCCCTCAGGAAGAACATCACGACAAAAAGGAAAAGAGAAAGAGAGAGATTGCAAAGTGGGCAATACTCACAAAGCCTCCCCGTATAAACGGTATCTGAAATTCTTTGTCATTGAATATATTGTTGATTTTATCAATGCAGTTGCCTTATTCCCCAGGGGAATGATTGACAGTGATTTTCGCTTTTGTTTCTTGGTTGAGTTTTCTTTCCCCTCTGAGATTTGTTTGTGTTCCACTGTTTTGTGTTTGTCACCATATGCCCACCAAAGTGAACCAGAGACAGAGTATGGTTTTCCGGGATCCCACTGAATTCTCATCTCAATCCAAGAATAGTAAGCTCCCTGAACTTGGACCTGCTGGAGACTTGTCTTCACGCATGAAGAGATCATCATTGATAAGGTGGCTAGAGAAAAGTGTGGTGAAGAAAGCTGGCCGGGCTCTGCTATCTGCTGGAAGAGGGTCTGAGGTCTTAAAGGCTTATATTAAAACAAGCAGCCATCTATGTAAGCCATCCACTAAGTCCACAGGGAAGAAGCACACCAAGGGAAATACGAAAAGGAGGATAACAGAATCCACCTACAAAGGAGAAGCATGGGGATTGACATTGGGGATATCTCATATGCTGAAGTCTCAATGAAGAGTGCAAGCCCAAATCTATCTGCAGAATATCTGGTCACATCAACCCTTGGGCAGATGCCCTCTCCCCACTGGTGAGGGCTGGAGAAACTTGATTATCAGCCTGAGATGATGGGCAACGTGATCACAGTGGATTCAATCATGGTATAATATGATACATGTTCGGTTGGCATACCTCAGGATCTACCCTATCTTTGCTCTAGGGTCAAATATTTCTTGCTCATACCACGACAGAAATTTCTCCTCTGGAGTTTCAAATGTTGAGTTTTTCCCCTTACTCTTCATATTTATTGTTTAGTTATATTATTATTTTTGTTTTATTTTCTACTTGTTGTTTTGTGCTCTATTTGTCTTTTATTGTTCCTATTGGGTTTCCTGGTGTGTGAATATCAGGAGGGGTGGATGCATAGAGACAATAAATGATGCATTGGTTTATGGGACACGTGGAGAGTGGGGGAGTATGGAGGGTGAGGGGATTTGAAGAGCAAACCATGAATAAGGGAGGGGAAACACTAGGACTTATAATGATGTGTATATATATATATATATATATATATATTCTTTTAAAAGGTGATTTAAGTATGGAAGTGTACTGTTTTGACTATTATGCCAAGAAAACTACTTTAAAAGTTTTTGGCTCAACTTTTGCACACCAAATCCATCTGCACATTATGTAGTCAGAGATGAAGCAGCTCACAGATCCCCTGTATCCACAGGCAAGATTCCAGATGCATCCTGCTCTCAAACAAAGATTTTTGTCCTGATGATACTGGTTCCAACTTGAAATGTGGCCAGCTGACCTCCCTCCAGGCCTGATCAGAAGCTGTTCTAGGTTCAGAGATCTCCACATGGTTCCAGGAACAAAGTGTCTTGCATGGCTTTAAAAATATCGATGGCAGTGCTTTTTCTTACTCACTGTTTGAATTTTTAACTATATTTCACTCTGTTTTTTTCCTTCCCACTTTATTTAGTTTGTGTTCTTTATTGTGGAGCACCAAAGGAGTGGATGCCTAGAAATAATAACTGATGCAAAGGTTTGCAGGGGATATCCAGGTTGGGGTGGGTGGCGTAAGTGGGGAGGTTGAAAGGATTTGGGGAGTCAAGAATAAAGGTGGGAGGGGCTGAGCGTTAGAACTGAAAGTCATTTTAAAGGGGATTTAATCGTTAGGGGTATATGTTCAGGGGAAAGGCATTGTTATGAAATGGATTGTGGTAATGATTGCAAAACTCTTTTTGTGATGATTGAACTAGTGAATTGTGGGATATGTGGACTAAGTGACCCAAAAAGTGTTCAAAAATAAAAGATATCCTTCACAAAAATTCACTAAGTAAACTATGCACAAAAGAGTCCAAAAGCAAACCAAAGCAAGCCACCAAACAACCAAACAAACAATAACCAGGTAGTTTCATAGTGTTTGACAGTTTTCATTGAGATAAAAATGGAAGTGGCCCAGGTGCATAAGCAAATGTGAAGAAAGCTGATGGTGTGCAGCTATCAAAACATATAGCAACTAGGGTTTAAAAGGCTTGAGGGTAAACAAGCAGCCATCTAGCTCAGAAGCAACAAAGTCCACATGGAAGAATAACTGTGAACAAAATGAAATATCACGAGGCTTCAAAGGGATGAGGTATCAGGCATCAAAGAATAAAAAATCATATCATTGTCAATGATATGATCCCAGTTCTACCTTACAAATCTGTCTAGACAAGACTGTGTAAACTGGTATAGATAGGAACTGGAAACACAGGGAATCCAGGACAGATGATCCCTTCAGAACCAATGCTGAGAGTGGCAATATTGAGAGGGTGGAGGGAGGGTGGGGGAGGAAAGGGGGAACCAATTATAAGGATGTGCATATAACCTCCTCCCTGGGGGAAAAGTGGGTGAAGGGAGACGTCAGACAGTGTAAGATATGACAAAATAATAATTTATAAATTATCAAGGGTTCATGGGGGGTGGAGTGGGCAAGGAGGGGAAAAATGAGGAGCTGATACCAAGGGTCCAAGCAGAAAGCAAATGTTTTGAGAATGATGATGGCAACAAATGTACAAATGTGCTTGACACAATGGATAGATGGATGGATTGTGATAAGAGTTGTATGAGCCCCCAATAAAATGATTAAAATAAAAAACAACTTAAACCTAATTTTTTTTAATGGAAGTGTCCCTGCAAAGGGCCTATGGGTTTAGAGTGCTGTGAAGCTAAAGGCCAATCTACTTGGAGCTGGTGTAGCAGGAAAAGGCCTTGATGCTCTCGGCCAAGGCGTGCTTGGTCAGCTCTCCAGTCAGCAGCAGGCACATGGCAGTCTGGATGTCTCTGGCCGTGAAGGTGGAGTGCTTCTTGGAATGTTCCAGGTGAGACACCTGTCGGGAGATGAGCTCAAAAGTGTGGTAGACCAAGTAGTCTGGGTGAACCTGCTTGAGCTTCTTGTGCACGTATAAAGAGTAGGTCTCCTTGTGGCTGCACTGGCCTTTCTTGTGGTCCTTCCTCTGAGCCTTAGGCACCTTTTCCAGGGCAGCCTCACACTGAGCTGGGTCTGGCATCCTGAGAGTTAAGGACTCCAGACAGAATCATGCAGTCACAGCAATGAAAACTGCCAAAGGATTTGTGAGCAGCTTGCTGAGAGGTTGGCCTTTGTATCTACAGTATTTGGACAGATTTGAGAACAACTCCTGGCTAGACAGGCTACCCCAGAGGCACTGGAGGTGGAAGAGGGAATTGCCCTGGGTGGGGAGCCAGCAGGTTATTCTCCAGTCCTGTTCTTTACTATGGTAACTCATTGGTTTCTGTGATTTTATGCTAAGGTTTCTTTTTTTTCAATGGGGAGGGATGTAAAAATAAAATATTGTGGAAAATCCAAAACAGTACATGCAAGAAAATCATCTATTATCTCAAATACACACACATTAACCTTGCCTTAGAAATTAGGATAGCAAGACATCACCTGACATCAATTTCCCAAGCGCACAGGAAGGACAACAGGACAAAATGGGCAGGGGGTGTGCAGAGAAAGGGGAGAGAGATTCCCAGGTGGAAAATATTCACATACCCTTCTCATATAAACGGTACTTGTAATTCTATGTCATTGAATAAATTGTTGATTTTATCAATGCACTTGCCTTATACCCCAGGGAGTGGGTTATTGACAGTGATTTTCTTTTTTTGTTTCTTGGTTGTGTTCCCCCCTCCCTCCACCCCCAAATTTTGTTTGTGTGTCACTGTTTGTTTTGGGTTTTGTGTTTGTCACCATATGCCTGCCACAGGAAACCAGAGGCAATCACAACCCGTGAACAAGCGTATGGTTTTCTGATATGCCACTTAATTCTCACCTCAATCCAAGAATAGTCAGTTCCCTGAACTTGGCTCTGCTGGAGATTCACCTACATGGAGAAATCACCATGGATAAAGTGGCTAGAGCAAATTGTGATGAAGAAAGCTGGTGGGGCCTAGCTATCTATTGGAATAGTGTCTGGGGTCTTAAAGGCTTTTATTAAAAAAAGCAGCCATCTAAGTGAGCCATCGACTAAGTACACAGGGAAGAAGCACCACAGCTGGTGTGATGCAAGATCCACATATGATGAAGGAGAAGGATCGGATTGAAATTAAGGATATTCCATATGTTGAAGCCTACGTGGACAGTGGAAGCCCACAATCAATCTGCATAATATCTAGTCACATTAAGCCTCTGGCAGATGCCCTGTCACCATGGTCGAGGGACTGGAAAAACTTGACTATCAGACTGAGATGATGGCCAGTGTGATCATGGTGGATCGAACCATGGCATAATATGATCCAATTTCAGTTGGCATACCTCAGGATCCAACCTGCCTTTGCTCTAGGGTCAACTGTTTCTCACTCGTTCCTTGACAGAAATTTCATCTCTCTACTTTTAAATATTGATGGTGTTTTTTTCCTTCTTTCTTATACTTCAGTTTTATTGTTCCTTTATATTATTGTTGTTGTTTATATTTCCTCCTTGTGGTTTTGTGCTCTTTTTGTCTTTTATTGTTCCTATTGTGTTTCCTGGTGTGTGAACCACAGGAGTTGTGGATGCAGAAACAATAAGTGATACATTGGTTTGGGGGGCACTTGGGGAATGGGGGAGTATGGAGGATGAGGGGATTTGGGAAGCAAACCAAGAATGAGAGATTGGGGGGGGTTACATTAGAACTGGTTGTGAGGAGATATAGATATAATGCTTTTAAAAGTTGATTTCAGTATGAAGTGTACGATATGTGAATATTATATCAAGAAAACTACTTTAAAAATTTTTGACCCAGATTTTGAACCCCAAATCCATCTGCAGGGTATGTATTCAGATATTAATTCACTGGCAGATCCCCTGTAGCCATAGACGAAGGTCTGGATGCGCCCTGCTCTCAAACATAGCAGTCCTGATGATGCTGGTTCCACCTCTAAACTTGGTCAGTTGACATCCCTTCCAGGCCCTACCAGAATGTCTTCCCTGGTATCAAAATATCGATGGTGGTCTGTTTTCTTTACCCATTGTTTGTGTTTTTAACTATATATTACTCTGGATTTTTCCTTACCACTTCATTTATTCTCTTTTTTTGTGTGTCTGTTGGGTTTACCAGTTTGTGGAGCACAGAAGGAGTGGATGCCTAGAGATAATAACTGATGCAAGGGTTTGTAGGGGAGGTTCGGGTATGGGTTGGGGGTGGTGTTGGAGCTGAGGAGGTTGAGGGGATTTGGGGAGTGAAAAATGAAGGTGGGAGGGGACTGAGCATTAGAACTGAAGGTCATCTTAAAGCCAATTTAATCGTGGGTGAGTGTGTGTGAGAGGGACCCGGAGAGAATGTGAAATGGATTGTGGTAATGACTGCACAATTTTTCTTGAGATGATTGAACTACTGAATTGTGGGATATGTGGATCAAGTGTCCCAAAGAGTATTCAAAAAGAAAAGAATGTGTCCATTATGAATATTATCTAACTAAATACACTATGCACAAAAATGTCAAAAAGCAAACTGACCCAAACTAACAAAAAGCTAGGTAGTGCCATAGTGTTTGAGCTCTTTTTTTGGGATGCAAATGGAAGTGGCCCTGAAAAGAGCCTATGGGTTTAGAGCGCTGTGAGGCTAAAGGCCAATTTACTTGGAGATGGTGTAGTGGGCGGCGGCCTTGGTGCCCTTGGCCATGGAGTGCTTGGCCAACTCTCAAGGCAGCATCACGCACATGGCTATCTGGATGTCTCTGGCTGTGGTGGTGGAGCACTTGTTGGAATGTGACTGGTGAGACGCCTGATGTGCTGGAATGCGTGGAAGACCAAAGAGTCCGAGCGAACCTGCTTCAGCACCTTGTGGACATACACTGAGTAGGTGTGCTTTTGGCTGTGCTAACCTTTCTTGTGGTCCTTCATCTGAGCCTTAGGCACCCCCTCCTTAGGGACCTTCTCCAGAACATGTGGGGACTGAGCCAGGTCCAGCATGCTGAGAGTTATGGACCCCAGAGAAAATCCTGTAGTCACAGCAGTGAAGACTGCCAAAGGCTTTTTTATCAGCTTCCAGAAAGCCTGGCTTTTATATCTCCCATCTGTGGTCCAAATTGAAAACATCGCTTGGTCGGGCAGGCAGCTCCTGCAGCTTTGGAGGCGGAAGTGGGAAATTTCCATCGCCGGGGAATCTGCAGGGTGTGCTCTCGTCAGCTTCTATATTTTGGTAACTAATTGGGACTGTGATTTTTATCTTAAAGTATTTTCATTTTAATTTTTAAATGGTGTGGAATGTAAATATAAAATCTGTAAAATCAAAAATTATACACAGAAGGAAATAACCTTTTATTTCAAACACACATATGATAAATATACCCGGAAGTGAGAATGGCAAGACAGCAACTGACATCATTTGGGCGAACCCTCAGGAAGAACAACATGACAAAAAGGGAAAGAAGAGAGAGAGAGAGAGACAGAGAGAGCGAGAGAGAGATTTCCAGGTGGACAATAGTAAAATAGCCTCCTCATTTAAAGGGTATCTAAAACTCCATGTCATTGAATAAATTGTTGATTTTATCAATGAAATTGCCTTATACCTTAGGGGCTGATTTACAGTGATTTTCTTTTTCTTTCGTTTTTTTGTTTCTTCGTTGCGTGTATTTCCCGCCCTGAGTTTATTTTTGGGTGACACTGTTGGTTTTCTGGTATTGTTTGTCACAATGTGACCGCTAAAGTAAATCAGAGGCTTTCATAACAAGTGAACAAGCGCATGGTTTTCTGGGAGGCCACTTAATTCTCACCTCAATCCAAGAATAGTTCCCAGAACATGGCCCTGCTGGAGATTCTCCATCATGGAGAGATCACCATAGATAAAGTTGCTAGAGCAAAGTGTGGTGAAGAAAACCAGTGGAGTCCAGCTATCTATTGGAATCCTGTCTGGGGTCTTAAAGGCTTGTCTTCAAACAATCATCCATCTAAGTGACCCATCCACTAAGTCTACAGGGAAGAAACACAACAGCGTGTGTGATGCGAAAAGGAGGATAACAAAATTCACCTGTGAGGAAGGAGGATGGGGGTTGACATTGTGGATATCCCATATGTTGAAGGCTAGGTGGACAGTGCAAGCCCACAGTCTATCTGCAGAATATCTAGTCAGAGCAAGCCTCTGGTAGATGCCCTCTAGCCACTGTGGAGGGACTGGAAAAAACTTGAATATCAGACTGAGACGATGGGCAACATGATCAAGGGATAAGATGATACAAGTTCGAGTGGCATTCTCATGATCCAACCTGTCTTGGCTATAGGGTCAATTATTTCACACTTGTTTTCATGACAGAAAAATTTTTTCTGGACTTTTAAATATTGACGGTGCTTTATTTCTTAAATTTTCATTTTTATCATTCTTTTATATTAGTATAATTATTTTCTCTTTGCGGGTTTGTTCTCTTTTTGTCTTTTACTATTTATATTGTGTTTCCTAGTGTGTGAACCACAGGAGGAGTGGATGCATAGAGACAATAAATGATGCATTGTTTTATGGGGAACGTTGGGGGAGTAGTTAGGGTGAAGAGATTTGGGGAGCAAACAATGTCGATACGGGGAGGTTTAAAACGGATTGTGAGATAGATAGATAGATAGATAGATAGATAGATAGATAGATAGGAGTTTAAGATATTTTGTGGCACATTGCTTCAAATATAGATTGTGTGCAGGTTTGAGAGTTGTGTAGAGGTCATGTGGTGCTGGATCTTTGGGTTAGAGGAGAAAATCAGATAGCTGTAAATAGTGTTGTGTGGAGATGAAGAAAGCTTGATAGATGGGTAAGTTCAGAGAATAGGATACATTAGCACAAGAGTAGGGTTTAAGTGATGTTATAATTATAAATGGTGTTCTGGCTAAGTATAATGTTTTTTGATTTAGAAAATGGAATTTCAAGAGGTGTTCTAGTACTTGTTCATTTATGTGAAAGTGTGTACCACTGAAAAAAGGGGGGTGGGTCTTGAGGCAGTGGTGAGTGTGGTATATATAGAGTATATCTAGTAATCTATCAGAGTCATTTATCAATTCCCTATATAATACACGAAGAGTGCA